AAAAAAAAAAAAAGAAAAGAAAAGAAAAAAGAAAGAAATGTGTTGAAAATTTTGCTGTTCACATTGTTAAAATGTTTTAAATTATCCCGACCCAAATTGGCATGGGGATTTTTTTTCTGGTTTTCTTGCCCAGGTGTCCTTGGTTCCTGGCATATGGAAAATGCTCACTAATGATTTGTTGAGTGAGTGAATACCAGATCACAATCATTTTAAATTACTTTGACTTACTGTAAACTTGGAGTTTTTGAGCACATGAGTCAGATCTAGCTCTGCAGTGCTCTGCAAGCCTGAATCTCCACACATTCTGGTACCAGCATTTATAGAACTTACTCTTATTAGAGATCTAATAATTGTGCTAAACTATATTAAGTATTAGGGCAGAAGGTGAAGGACGAGAAGTCTAATTACTACTAGAATATGGCTTATGTTGGAAGCTGTGAAGCAGACGGATGAGTGGCAGTAATCTAGTAGATCTAGAAAACTGAACCCAACACAGCAGTGGGTAAAGAATCCTCAGAAAGCGTTAGTCACTTCTGGAAATGAGCACGAGGGAGCAGGAATGAAAATTAGGAGAACTGAGGGGTAAAACGTCTGAAAAGCTGTAAGTCCCCTCTCAGTTTTTCCCACTGAGTGCCTCCCTCCATCCCAGCAGGAGTTTAGAGATTCACCTTCTAAAGAGTGTAAAACAGAAGGTGTCTGAACTGGCAGCAAGATGCTTTTGCCTCTAAGCAGAAAATTGAAGACGATTCCAAAGAATCAAGGCTGCACAAGAGAAAATCCCCAAAATTCTGATGTTGGTGATTCCCAGATTACCCAGTGATGAAGTTTCAAGTTGCCAAGTTCCATGCATGTGTTTGTTGTGGACTGACAGCCAAGGTTTATCAGACACGGAGGAGAGCTGCTAACAAAAACAAAGACCAGAACACACACAGACAGCAACTGGGAGAAAATACATTAGGTAAAGAGAAAAAAGCTTCAAATAAACTACCACTATTATCTTCAGAGATATGAAACAAGAACTCAATAAAAATACTGAAAGAGAAAGTTCAAGAAATCCACCAGAGAGAACAAAAAGATGGAGATGAAAAATAAGTGAAAACTAAGAACATTAGGCTGGGCGCAGTGGCTCACACCTGTAATCTTAGCATTTTGGAAAGCTAAAGCAGGCGGACCACTTGAGGTCAGGAGTTCGAGACCAGCCTGGCCAACGTGGTAAAAGCCCTGTCTCTCTCTACTAAAAATAAAATAAATAAACAAAAAAGAATATTGAAGACTAGTCCAGAAACACAAAAACGAATAATAGGAGTTCCAAAAGAGAGAAAAAAGAAAACAAAATAATCACAAGAAAATTTCCTGGAACCAAAAGATACAAGTTACCAGTTTGAAAAGGCCCACCAGGTACCTAACACGTAAGATATATGTTCACACCTAGGTAAATCACTGTGAAATTTCAAATACTGAGGAAAAAAGACTGTCCAGGGTCTCAGGAAAAAAAAAATTGAGGGTTACATACAAAGGACTGGGAATCAGAATGGATTTGCACTATCTCAATAGCATCAGCAGGAACATGAAGATGAGGAGTGCCTTCAGAACCCGGAGTGAAGACCCGAAAAATCCAAGTCCATTTAATGAAGAAAAATCCATTGACTGTAGAACTCTATGTCTAGCCAAAGGTTAGCATAATCACTTTCAAACATACAAATCTCAAAAATTTTACCTCCAGGGCACTCTTTTTCCAAGAAGCTGTTAAGAATGTGTTAAAAGGCTAGAGGAACTAGAAAGAAGAAAACCTGGCATATAAAGAAGTCCAACCCAGAAGGAAAATAGTGACTCCCAGGAATATCACCAAGATCCGGGAATGATGGCTACGCACAGATGTCGAGGTCACCATCACATATTGACGGCAGTTGTCTAAAGGGACAGCTGTGCTGAGGACCATCAGTGCCATGGTCTCCCTGCCATGGCATCGTCTTTTTATCCAAGAACAGATTCCAGGATAAGCCTGGCCTATTCTTATCCACCACTGGCCTATCTTTACCATGTGCTGGTCAAGTTTCTGCTCAATCTTCCCCCACTCCTTGGATCTGATGAGGACCTTCATTTCATTCCTAAGTAGTTTTATGCTTTGATGTAATCCTGAAAGCCAGAGGCAGGCACTAGTGAGCTTAGGGAGAGAGAGAGCAGCCAATTCCTTCTGGTCATATTTGTCCATTGGACACCTGGTTCACATTGTAGCTCTTCCATTTGACAACTATGGCAGCCATGAAAATTCAATTTCCTTCCTTCCTTCCTTCCTTCCTTCCTTCCTTCCTTCCTTCCTTCCTTCTTCCCTCCCTCCCTCCCTCCCTCCCTCCCTTCCTTCCTTCCTTCGTTCCTGTTGAGAGCTGGGCCGGATGCAGTGGCTCACACTTATATACTAAAAATACAAAAATTGGTGAGGCGTGGTGGCAGATGCCTGTATTCCCAGCTACTCAGGAGGCTGAGGCAGGAGAACTGCTTGAACCTGGGAGGTGGAGGTTGCAGTGAGCTGAGATAGCGCCAGCCTGGGCGACAGAGCAAGACTCCATCTCAAAAAAAAAAAAAAAAAAAAAAGAAGAAGAAG